AGAAATTGGAGTATGCTCTGTGGTTGCAGCTTTGGCTAATCTTCCACATCAGAAACAAATTTCTATTAATCGTATTGGAGTTGTCTCGGTACTTTGAAGGTTCGGAGTATGCTCTGTGGTTGCAGCTTTGTCTGATCTTCCACATCAGAAACGAGGATTCGACTAACCATTTTGTGTACGATAGAGTTATATGCGGACTTTAAATACGTATATATCCGAAGAAGGTTCTATCTAAGAAAGATTGGTATTTAAGCGTGTCCGTTGTGACCCTCCACTCTTATCTGGGAATCCTTTATTGGGTGTATTGCGTATAGGTCTCGTGCATATTTTTTCTAGTATACAATACTGTTTTTGAGATACAGATACGATGGCAACATTCAGTCCCATTAAGTTTGATGTAGAAAAATTTGACGGAAGAATCAACTTTGGTTTGTGGCAAGTTCAAGTCAAGGATGTGTTGATTCAGTCTGGGTTACACAAGGCGTTGAAGGGGAGACCTGTCCCCGTTTCTAGCAAGGATTCAGTCGGAGCCAGTAAAGTCGATGATGAAGAATGGGAAGATCTGGATTTGAGAGCGGAAAGTTCTATTCGTTTGTGTCTAGCAAAGAATGTTCTTGCAAATGTGCATGGGATCGCAACGGCAAAAGATTTGTGGGAGAAACTTGAGCAGTTGTATCAAGGCAAAGGCATCTCGAATCGGTTGTATCTCAAGGAACATTTCATACTCTTCGTATGAGTGGAGATACAAAAATCTCAGATCATCTAAGTGTTCTTAATAACATCGTGTCAGAACTGGAGGCTATTGGAGTGGAGACTGAAGATGAGGATAAAGCTTTAAGACTCATATTGTCTTTACCTTCTTCCTATGAGCATATGAAGCCTATTTTAATGTATGGAAAAGAGACCCTGAAGTATGCGGATGTTACTGGTAAACTCCTGGCTGAGGAGAAACGACTGGAAAGTAGCAACTATGCTTCGTCAGAAGGAACGGCTATGATATGCAGGAACGAGAAGAAGAAACACTCCCAGAAGATCCCGGTATGCTGGAGGTGTGGAGAGTCTGGGCATGTCAAGCGAAATTGTCCAGGTGGAGCAACGAGTTCGACAAAAGGCTCCGATACAGCTAACAGTATCTCCGTCGCTACTGACGGTGATGAATTCTTTTGAGTTGTGTCATCCCTATGGTATGCCCGTGATACCATGGAAAGGGATGTGTTTCTGTTAGCGGGGGAACTGCACATGGGCATTGGATTGGCATAAATGCAAGATGTGTGGTGAAGTTATGTTGATGGCTGATGAACTTCCGGGTATGCCAAGTGGAAGTTGCACCATAAATTTTTCAGCAGTTCTTTTTCAACATGTGTCGAGGTGAAATTCTTAGGATGGTTTATTCTAAGTGGTGATACTTTCTTATGGTGGAGTATGATAATTCTATGCCTTTAAAATTATGATCGTAGATGAAAACGATGTTCCTTTATGTGGTTGCGGTTTTCTTTCATTTATCCAAGGTGGAGATTTGTTGGTTTTTTGGTTATATGAAGAAAAGTTCCCATCCCACATTGCTAGAAGGATGAAAGCTTGAGAGGTCTTCAAGCTTATAAATAAGGACCAAGGCTTTGGTTTCAAAGTACCCCAACCAACAATACACTATAAGTGTTTGGTTATTTCTTTCTTTCTCTTATTTTAGAGTGGTGAAAGTATTAGTTAAAACTTTGAGAGTGTGGGTGTAATTTGGGGGGAGGCTTGAGAGATTAGTCTATGTGATTGTAACAATTTATCATATAGTGGATCTTTCTCTCTGGAGGCCCGTGGTTTTTCTCCGGTTTTGGAGTTTCCACGTATATATTTGTGTTCAGTTTATTTTTCTATTATTGTCTTTGGGAGGTTTGTAGGGATTATTGAGGCCATTTTCCCAACAGATTGAACCTTGTGCACCAAGGTAGGTAATTGCAGGTTGTTTTTTATTACAATTTTCACTGAAGGGATTAGCCTCATATGATTGCAAACTTCATCTCTGCTGCTTTAATAAAAAAAGACTGAAAAAATTATAATCGGGAGGATAAAAGTTACCCAGAGCAAAAAAGAAAGGAAAATGATTTGTGATTTCAATTTTTTGATATTTTCATAACATCTGAAAACTGTTTCTGAAAAAATAATAAAAATAAATAAATAAATAATAAAACATCCCTTTCTATATTTTCATAAATTTTCAAAAATATAGTGCTGAATTTATGCATAGCAACTGCATTCCACAATCTTGCTGTTAAATATGAGTAACTTGTGTTCTTCACCATAGACAATAATAAGTTCCTAAACACTTAGATCATTAGATGGCTATTGTATACTCTTTAGTCTTTTCTAGAAATATTCTAAAATAAAATTCCCTTCTAAGAATGGGGTCATATGCCCCCAACCGATTTTTGGGATTTATTTTCATTAGTAACAATCGGCTAAAATTAAAAGATAACATCTGAGGCCCTCAACGGTTGAGCTTGACCAACAACTAAACATAGAAAAAAAAGGTCAATGGTAGATAATTGATCATTAGATGATAATATTTTAAGAATTAGGTTTACTTTTACTATTTTATAACAATGAGTAAGCCTCTCTCTCTCTCTCTCTCTCTATATATATATATATATATATATATATATATATATATATATATATATATATATATATATATATATATATATATATAAATTAGGATTTCTGATAATTATCAATCATAAAAGTAATAATTTGAATTAAACCTATTAATTGGAACAATTTTTTGAGGATGATGTTACTTAAATTACTTTTTATAAACCAATCAGGTCATCTTAATTATATTTACTGATGGATCCTTGTACTTGGCTTAATAAGAGAAGTAGAAAGTATCAGGTGTTTCATTCTACTATGTGACTGCAAACATCAGGTGTTTCATTCAAATATGAAAAAATCTAATGATATGAAATAATCGTTAATATAAAAACATAGTTTTTTATGCATGTGAACCGGTTATAATTTTAAATGAATCTGATTTTCTTTTGAACTGAACCTATAATTTTGATTGAACTTGATTTTGTTTTAAACCAAACTTGGTTTCTTTTGAACCACATGGTTTTTTATTTTAAATTTACCACCACTTTCATCCAACCCAATTATTTTGACCATTTGACCCAAGTCATTCATAGAGTCTATTACAGTGACGGAGCTACATAGGGCGTTGGGGGTACTACAACATCCCCAAAAAAAATTGTTTTATGTATATAAAAAAATTTATGTGTAAACATGTTCTATATTATTGTACCCCCAACTAAAGAGATTATATCATTTTTTTTATGCAGCGGATATGATAACTACATAGAATATTTATTCATAATGTTTATACCCCATATAAAAATTTCTGGCTCCGTCACTGCTCTATTGATGGTGCCCCCAAGGGAGAAACTTTATATGTCTGTCCCTGAAAGTTACATATGCTTGTTTATTATCAATTTGATATGGTAGATATAAGAACATGTAATGTGTTATAGGAGTTTAGTACATCATCGGACATTAAAGCCATCAAACCTTCTTCTTCCTTGTTAAAGTTTGGATGGCACACATAAGATGTGTTCTTATACTCATTGCCATCTGTTTCACTACAGAGCCGGCCCTAGGGCATGGGCAACCTGGGCGACCGCCCCGGACCTCGCTAAATCTCGGGGCCCCTAAAATTTACGGTTAATGTATATATATACAGTTTTTATGATATAAAATAAAATATGCCGCTAAAAAAGCATATGATGCTTGTAGTTGAGATGGTAGATTGACAGTAATTATGTTGTAGATCCCCGGTTCGATCCTTGGTTAATGCATCTTTTAAATTTTTAATAGTATATTTTACTTAATAATCTATTAAATGTTGTGTGCCTCCCAAGCAAACAACTCCTCAGTTATCAAGAAATATGTTTTGATTTTTTTTTATGTATTTTACTTATTTAATTATGTTTTGATTTGTGGCTCTCAAAACGACGCAAACGATTCCCTTTCCATTCCTTTTTTATTTATTTATTTTTTTAATTTCTATCCTATTTGCTAATTTCATTGTAGAAATCAAATTTTTGTATTCATATTTAATGTGGTATTACTTTGGTAACAATTTTAATATAAAGTTCAACAGTTAGATGTAAAACAGAATCAACTTTCTTTTTCGTTTAAAAATGTTGTTCGAGACTTTTTTTTTATGGTATTTCAATCTCAAATTGTCGATGTGACTTATGGCTTGCCTCCTCCATTAGGTATATCTCTAATGTGGTATAAATATAGCGGCTTTGTTCACTTTTTTTGCCTAGATAATGAAAATTTATGGACATGACATAGCTATGTTATACATCGAGAAAGATACATTTATCCAAACTTGAAAGTCTTCATACATGCGTTCATCGATGAAGTTTCTTTTTTAAGCAGTAGCAACCTCAAATAATTGTACATTTTAGTGAATTAGTACATGAAATTATTTGATTATAAAATTACGTAATTTCAAGGGCCTCATCTTCTATTTCGCCCCGGGCCTCAAATTGGATAGGATCGGCCCTGTTTCACTATATGTGGAAGTGGGGGAATGTTCAAATAAAAACAATTATGAAATTGAAAATACGAGAACACTTTTCAATCACATATGAATAGCTTAATCACATGTGAGTAACAAGGTTTAACCACATGTGAATAACATAATTTATTCACCACGACAATAAATTTTTATTAATATGACCCGTTTTATTACTAAAGAACCATACTCTATTTGCAATATAAAGTTTGAAAACTCTACTCTATAATCAATTTTATACTCTATACCGATTTTAACCGATTCTGTAGTGCAAGCAACTATCAAAATATGAACTAGCAAGAAATGGAACGCAATTAATGTGAGTTCAGACGATTTTTACCAATATCAAGGAAGCTAAAATAATTTATATATAAAACTTAGCTTATCGGTATCATGCATTTCTCAACAATTCTATCATTAACATTTACTCATCTATGACACAAAAGATCGAAAATATAGATACCAATCAGTGGGTCCAACAAAACACACAACTGTGAAGACTTTTGAATGCTTCTCCATTGGCGGTTAAAAGTCCATCGCCACAAAAATAAGGTTCACTGTCCTTGAAAGCTATCAATCACCCTTCTGCCACCTTGATTGTGCTTTGATAATTCTACAGAAGACAGGGAAGACTCACCTGAGTACAGATATCATTATGAAATTCCTAACATAGCTTACAATTTCAAAGTACTAAATGCTCAATTTTTTTTCTTCTACTTTTAAATAATGTAGTTCTTTCATTGGAAGGTGTTACCTACATACACACTTAAAACAAAGGACAACCAAAATGAACACAACTTGTAAATAGCTTTGTACAATTATTCCCTCTAATGAAACATATTGTTGTTTTATGAAAGGTGTCATTACAGTTAGAGTCTTTTATGAATTGCTTGTTGTGTCTCCATCTTGATGACAAGAGCCAAGATGTAATTTGATATTAGAAAGTTCATACTTATCCAAGATACTGTAACCAAGGACTTCAAGAAAAACAATCTTGTCATCATACACAAAAGTCTCAAAATTAATACGGAGTATTACTATGACAGTAATATTTTGGGATTATGGTTGAAAACAAAAAGAAAACATAAATTAGAACGTCTAACTTAAAAGGGGACATTCATTTATTTGAAAAACTAAAGGAATTTGCCATGTTTTGTTTAGGAAGAGGGACGTAATACCTACATGATTCGAAGACATATATATTAGTCCTAGAACCCTCTTGCAAATTTGTTAACTACCAAACATTAACTAAAATAATAGTAGTACTACAATTTATAACAAAATTTTCATTACTTATGTAAAGAGTGGAGTGATGGGAAGGACATAACATACCTTTTTTTACTAATAAACAGTCACTTTCAAAGATGATGGGATGGAAATTGTCTCAGGCAGATCCCTAAGCTTCAGGCATGAACAAATATCAAGACGTTTAAGGCACGTAAGGTCTTGTAAGACCTCTGAAAGCGATTTCACATCCATAAAATCAACTAGTGTTAGAAAAGTTAGAAATTGTGGAAGTTCAAAAGATGATGAAGTAGTAGTATTCCGTATATCTTCTGCCACTGTAAATGAAACTACTCCTGAATTTTGGCCATATAAAACTAGTTCAACTAATGATGTTGGAAAATTTTGGGGACCCCACTGGGACATGGGCTTATTTAAGGATCCTATACCTAGGGTACTTAAATTAGGTGGCCACAACCCACAAGGAAAGGAATACTCCATACTTGGACAATCATATATCCACAGTTGTTCCAAAGATGTGAAACATTGCAAATGCTCATGAGGAAATGACTTCAGATTCTTGCAATTATTGATTTGAAGAGCTCTTAGGCAAAACACAGGAAGAAAACCCAAACCACTCTTTGGAATGGGTTCAATGTTATCACAATTACTGGTTACTGTTTCAGGGAGAGAGGAAGGAAGCTCTTGCACTTGTGAGAAGGTCAAGGAAGTCACCGAATCACAACAACTTATCACCAACCTCTCAACATTGACAGGACAGTTGTAACTCTCCACTGTGTCACAACCATTGATCATCAACCTCTCAACAACTGATGAAGAGACACCAACCATGCTTCGTAATACAGTTTCAGAACATTCTTCTATATGTAAAATTGTAAGTGATGGAATCATTCCAATTGACACTTGAGCTAGTTTCGGACAACGGATAATAGAAATCTCAACAAGACGAGGAAATGATCTACTAATTCCATTGCTTTCACCCCCATTAGTTGACCAACTATGCCAACCTTGCATATCGTCAAATTTCAATACTTCAAGTGAAGGAAATGCAACACCAAGGAAAGAAGTTTTAGGTGAAAGTAACTCCATACCCACAGTTTTAACTTCATGCATTCTTTCAATAAACAATTTCCTAAGTGAACGTAGATGTCCAAGTGTTGGTAAATGTGTAGTTCTACAACCACGTAATGTAATCTCTGTTAACCGATCAAACGAGGGATCACCAACCCAACTAGGGAATCTTGTTCCTCTGTAGAACAATATTTTCAGGTTTCTAACCTTATGATGAGGAATTAGACCTTTAAGTACTTCATATTCAATCATCTCATTCCGAGAATTATCAAACACGTCACTCCATTCCATCTCCAAAACATCAAGACCCATCTTCTGATGTAAGTTGGCATCCTTTGCTTGAATTGGATTAATCACTTTTTCTAGCCCCATAATGGAAACTCGACCTTGAATATCTGATAGGCCCTTAAGCTCATATATTTTGAACCCGTTAGCCGCTGAAATAACTACCTTTGATAGAGTTTGAAGACTCTTCAACCCACCAATCCCTAATGGCATCTTTTTCACTTTTGGAGTACGACCTATGTCAAGATGTCGTAGGTTTATTAACTTTTGAAAACTTTTTGGCAAGCTAGATAACTCGTAACAATCATGAATCAACAAGGTCTGTAGATTATAAAGGTCACTCACTTGTTCTGGTAAACATGTAATTGATGTATAAGAAAAATTGAGGTACCGAAGATGCTTGAGACCACCAATAGATTGTGGTACCTGTGTGATGATCTGAGTTGATAAGCTTAGTACCCTTAACAAATGTAGTTCAGGAAGTAATTCGACAAGAATACTGTCTAATAAGTGGTAACTTTGCCAACGAAATGATAATAGTGAGAAAGTGCGTAGGCGTCGAGCTCTTTTAAATTCCTTGAGCTTTTTATATGATCCGGATCTTGGACCTATAAGTGAAAAGTGTCGAAATTTCTCAAAAGTTTCATGCTTTTCGTATGCATCCATCTTATCATCCAATCTAAAGAAAAACTCTCCTGCAACACTTGTGGCCAAGTCATTTATCAGGTCATGCATTGTAAATCCTAATTCGTCAATCGTTGAATGTTGAAAAAACGACCTTGACTTTAGCTCTTCAAAATACTCATGACCTAAACCCTCCATTGACATGTTTCCTTTTGATTGGGATAAAAATCCTTCTGCCATCTACATTAGGACTAATCTGTTCTTGTCAAATACATAATCCTTTGGAAATAATGAGCAGTATGCAAACAACTGCTTCAAATGTGGAGGGAGATGATAGTAGCTTAGTCTTAGAGCTGGAAAAATCCCTCTTCCATCTTGTATATCCCATATCTCACTATTCAACAAATTCTCCCATTCATCACCACTTCTATTTGTCTTCAAGACCCTCCCAAGAGTTTTCAAAGCCAAAGGCAATCTACCACATTTCTTCACAATACCTTCTCCATGTAATTTAAGTGTTGGATGATTCTCAAAGCTTTTTTCACCAAGCGCATGTTGAGCAAACAAAGACAACGCATCTTCAGTTGACAAAACCTCAAGATGATAAGCTACATCAGTGTCCATGAGTGATGCCACCTTTGTATTGCGAGTAGTAACCATGATTTTACTTCCAGGTGCCCCAACAAGAGCGCATTGCAGGAGTTCCCACTTACTTTGGTCTTCGTTCCACACATCATCTATAACAAGTAGGAACCTTTTATTTAAAAGTTTTTCTTTAAGGGCCTCATGAAGCAAATTTAGATCAGCAAACTCTTCGTTTTTACCGTTTACTGCTTGAAAAATAGTCTTGCTAATATTAAATACATCAAACTCTTGGGAAACACAAACCCATGTCCTAAGTGCAAAGTGATCCTTTACTTTCTCCTCATTGTACAGAATTTTCGCAAGAGTGGTTTTGCCAATCCCACCCATACCAATTATCGACACTATGCTGACATTTTGGTCACATGATTCATTTCCCAACAATTTCCCGAGCAATGCCTCTTTATCACCTTCCCTACCCATGATTTTGGACTCATCCACCAGTGAAGTTTGCTCGGACCATTTCTCTGTTATATGTGACCTTTCAACATTCACATTAACATTCATATTCAAGCCTAAATGATTTTTCTGGTCTACAATATCATTCAATTTGGAGGTAATCTCATCCAGCTTAGAACTCATCTGCTGACCATACATAATGTTGGTAGGAGAGAAATTTGTACAACAAATTGGAATGATCTTCAATACCTTACTAGTCATGGTGCCGGCGTTTGATTCTTGATTCAATTTGCGTCGCATAGCTTCGGTGGCCAAATCATCGAGTACATCGTCTATGTCGTAAGCCAAATCCTGGAGTTTGTTGACCCACAATTGAACAGCTCTATCTGTGATGTGCTTCTGGGCTGCATCAGCAAGAACAGCTTGGATCTGGAGCAGGGTGTTGTTCCATTTGTTCAGCTGAGAGATAAGTCCCTCCGACCGAGCTAGCTTGATCAAGTCCGCAGAGCTCAGCTTCTCGAATAGCACTGTGATGAATGCGGCGAGAAATATTTCAGCAACAGCCATTGGAATTTGGAAACGGAAAGTTTTTTTTTTTTTCTGGGTTTTTGATCTGAGAACAAGTGATGGATAAGAATTGGCACAGGAAACAAAGGGGTTGACTTGACTCTATGTTGATAACTGTTCTCACTTCTAATATAAAATATTGTATTAAAATAATGCAACTTGCATCAAGGATTTTTGTTTGTTTGGCATCGTCACTCGTCTACATATTCATACATAGTTACAGTTATACTAGGTTATAACCGCAGTGATACCTAGGTGTCACCTCACCGGTTATCATAAAAGTATGGTTTCATACCACACCTAAGAAGTGGTGTCACATTTGAGTATTTTTTTTTTATTTCTTTTTTAATAAATAAAAGGAACCAATCAGAGGGAGTGAAGAAAAAGGAACCAATCACATTGCTTGAAGGTTGTTTGAAGGAGTGCTCCCTTGGAATGGTGCAGTGCACTCTCTACCGCACCCAGGGGCGGTGTTTGTGCTTATGTGGCAAGGAGAGTGTGGTCCAGACTACACCCACTCCCTCTGGTCTAAACGGTGGTTTCTACGGGTAAGAAATGAAAATAATATTGATAATTAAAAATAGTTATGAAACAACCATGCGATGCAACGCAGACATCTTTTCCGCAAATAGATTTTGGACAGTAATTAGTAGTTTTGTAATATATGTTGCGTAACGATTAATAATGAAGTATGTTCCTATTTTGGGTTGAATCCACTATTTTGGCTTTTAGACATCAATTTATATATTGATTTTTGATGTGTAGTTTGTTGATTATTGATCGTTGTACATAGGAGCGGACGTAATAATACATAGTAGGTGTTGCCGAGGATAAAATAGGTGTTGCCGATATAGAAAAAATAGGTAAAAAATCGAAAATTCAAAAAAATTTCAACTGCAGAAAAAATGTGTTGCCGGTGTCAGACCGGGACACCTACTAGGTCCGCCCATGGTTGTACACTCAAGTAAGTGAATTGTGGGTTGATGGATATTTACCCTTTCATTCAAATTATCATAATTAACCCTAAATTTATTAATGATACCAATTGTATTATCGAGGATTTACCCTTTTAATCAAAATAGGACATTCTCCAAAAAAAATTAGGTATTTATGTATTTAACATAAATGTTTTTAAAACTAACATTTAGAAACATATAACTATTTTTAATAAGAACATGATCCTATACTATTTCTTCTTTGTACTAATGTAATAAAAAAAATTAAGCCCATGTTCAACCAAATGATTAAACAAAGGTTGAACGTAATAAGACAAAATCCACCTTTTAATCTAATTTTTAATCCCAATGTAAGACAACTTTTAAAAGTATTTGTATAAGATTACGTATTATTGAATAATGTATGTGTAATTAACACTTAAAAGCTATATTTTGTCCATTTATTTTTAAAATTAACATTTACAATATTATATGTTTCAGATTATCTTCTTTTCTTCTAGGCCTGCTTATAATCGACATCAAACACTATATATTTTAATACGTTTTAAAATATTAATGGATACAATAAGTAACTACCAACATATATAATTATCTATAGTATAACTACCAATATGTGGGTGGTGACCCAATAGCATGTTAAGTGAAAGTTGAAACCTTAAAGCTAAAGTAAACTAAAGAGTAACTTTTTATCATAAATAGACCTATCGGCTATAATATATTCATTCTATCCTTTAGTAAACCCCCAAATTCCTCTCCAAAAGTATCAAAATCAGAAACTTTATGCTCGATCCTTCAATATAATGACATTTTTACAGAGACAATTTTCACAATAATCTGAGAAACAAATGAAACAAAAGAACAAATATTACTCTAAATATCATAAATAATTCCTTAAGTTTTTGCAAATTTTGTGTTGTAACTTCAACATAAAGAAAACAACTTTCAAGTCATTCATAAATGACAATTATACCCTTTACTGCATTGTAGCATTATAAACATAGAAACAAACTTTGTTTTCAACCATACACATAAAATATTCACCATAGCCCCCTCCACTTTATACAAGTTTCCTGGAAATTGGATGTTATAATAGAAAAAATGAAAGTTAGATGTTATAATAAAAAATAAAATGAAAGTAGATATATAGAACCATATCTTCCTAGTTATCCAGTTTGATGGGCTCATACTAAAATTGTCAATATTATAATCAAATCTCTCACTTGTCCATCGGATGATGGGCTTCTAATATCATTACCTCGAATTATCTCAAGCCATGGTGTGCCTCTATCCACTATAGTGCTAAAAACAACCATTGATCAAACTTAGCAGAAAGTAAATTCACAAAAAATAAACCAACAAAAAATTATGTGAGTTAATATTTAAAAAACTGATAAACAATTCATCGCATCACAATAGAAAGTAGACATAACAAACCAAATCTCATGGTGTTTAAAAAACCTGATGTTCCTTCAATTATATACTGAATCAAACTTGTGAGTTCAAATCTTCCTTCAAAGGCAACAGAAAATTGAAAAGTGTTATAATCATTGTGTAAAGGAAAGATTCCAATGCATTATTGTTACCCGTTTAGTCGGAGTAAAAAAATAGAAATGATGCAATCAAACTGTTCGGCTGTTATTAGTTATTGCTTCAACAACCCTTATGGATTCGGTCAACATATTTTCATTGTTTTGTGTTTGTCTTTCTACACACCATGTATAGGCCTAGAAAATTAAAGATACTACAAAACATTAGCAGCGTACTTAATTTGAGAGAAAGAAGAGGGGTAAAATGGGCAATCATAGTAGCATCTTACAGACAACACTTCCAATTGTTGTAATCCTAAATTGAGCCACAAAATTAGCAGATGCAGTATATGACAAAAACTCACATTGTTCTTTTACAAACAAAAGTTAGACCCACGGTGTGAAAGAGGAAAGAGTTAGGTTTCTTTTACAGAGAGGATTTAGAGGTGTTGGAAGCACAAAGTGTTGAAGAAGCTAGGGTTTCATCTTTTTCAATAAAATTGTGGTTGTGTGGATGAGTTCAAGTGGCCTAAAAGAATAGCCTGATAGAAATCAATTTACCTAAAAGAGTGGGAGAAGAGATAGCGGTAGTTGGTGGTGACGTTGGATGATCGAGACGATAAGGGCATCGGTGGATGTTGTGTTTATGGCAGGGTGATGGTCGAGCATGGTGTCGGCGAATTGAATTTGCAAAAAACAGAAGAAACATTCAACGAAGTGCGTTATAGAGATGTATCGTGCTTTATCATCTATTCCTTGGGAAAAACAGAAAAGATAAATTGAGTAGATGATCATGGCTAATTACACAGGATTGGGATTATGAAAATCAGAAGGAACTCCGATTTTAAAACAATAGAAGGGCATTTACCGACATGTTCTTGCATACATAGGAGTTTAAAGGAGCAGAAGAAGATGAGAAGGGCAAAATAGACATTTCAGTTTATAAAACTCTAGGCTTAGGAGATGTCATATGAAAAAAAAGAGTCTTTTATTAAATAGGAAGATACCAAACCAGAAAAACCACATCCTCTTTGTTATATTAAACTAGTAAAGAGGCCCTTCTTTTTCTATCGGTCGGTTTTTTTTCATAATTTTATTTGATGGGTGTTGTTTGACATTCACAAGTTACATAAAATACATATATTTCATTACGTAACAAGGGAGATACATTTTGAAAAAGATTGAAGCATACAACTACTCAAAAGATTACTTGCAAAAGACTAAATGTAAAAAACAAATAAATAACAAACAAATAAATAAACTGATCGCAACACATATATAGACAGACACATTACTACCATATAATTTCCATAAGCAGCATGATACGCACAGAAAGAAATTTTAAGTCCATACAAGGTAAATATCAAAGACATGAAACAATATGGTAAACAAAATGATTGTACAAAAAGTTGCGCTAAGTTACAGGGAATCTAATCCATAATGATCATGTATCTGAAATGATCGTGAAGAGATCAAAACTTTTGCAACAAAGTATTCTTCAACACCAAAATCGTCTAGATTAGGTATATAGGAGCCGATTCCACAAATACATGCTTTCCGATCATCATATACAAAGAGCTTTATCTTCATTAACTATATGTCTACAAATATGCCACAATGATGAAGTTTTAGTGTAAACTTGGTCAAACTTTGAGGTATCAGTCACCTAGAACCGGCAAGTAAAGGGAAATTTACAGAAAAGTCCTAAACTTTTTGGTAAAAGTTTCAATAAAGTCCTAAAAGTTTTTTTTAATAGAAATGTCCATTATTTTGAGAAAATCATATAATTTGTCATTTGTTGTTCAAATATAAAAAAACGACTTTTTCGTTAATTTAGGCAAAAATATTAAATAATCGGGACTTTTTTGTTCAAAAAAAAAATCTTTTAGGACTTTATTGAAACTTTTCCCAAAAGCTTGGGACTTTTCTGTAGATTTCCCGCAAGTAAATTCTAAAACCTAACCTTATAAAGCGTTGGCCAATAGGAGCTGATCATTTTCATCGAGAGACCAAAGCAAGCCGGGGTTGTAGTTGGGCATAACCTTCATAAAAAAATTTAAACAAAGTTAACCTTATTGCTAAATCTACAATACGAATGATTTATTAATAACTTATACGAATTTATTTAAAATACTTAGCAAATAAGCAACTTACTTTGGGTTCCGCATCTTCTACCGCGTATTCATCTTCAATATTAGCATCATCATTGAATTCCTTTAAATTGCATGATAAGATCAGAAAAGAAAGAAAATCATGCCTCAAGAAGAAAAAGAATAAAAGTATAGTATTATAATAGAAACAATGAAAGTAAGATGCTATTATAGTAGAAACAATGTGTAACTCCACAAAATCCAAGGTAAAATTTTTATTTTTAAAACAATAAATCATACAAATGAGTTATTCCAAAACCGATCAAATTGAATATATTATTTAAACATCAGAGTAATATCATTAATTGTCAATGCCGAAAAATCTGAGGGATGTTGTGCAGTCACGCCGGACCCTTCCCTTTTGAACC